TGTATTACAAATGGGCAATGCAAATATAAATTATGTAACGTGCATATACTGCCTATACCTATGATATATTATAAACGTCGACATTTTTTTGGTGGTGATAGGGGGTGTGGTGGTTGGATCTTGAATAGGTACAGTATGGTTAAGTAAACTTCTTTTCAAACAAAAAAACGCTGTTTTAACGATATTTCAACAACAATTTACTAAAAATATTGTTTTAAACACACGTTTTTATTGATACTTAAAACATGTATTTTAAACGTTTAAGGGGCCTGCTCGCGATTTTTCAAATTTTCCGCAATTCTATAAAATTTGAAAATTAAATTTTATATTTTAGTTGCCACCTCAATTATAAGACTTTTCCACTAATCTACTACCCAATACCTATTTAGGGGGGGTTGATAGGGTGTATTATATCGGTCAAAACACAGTTTACAGGAAAAACTCTCACACCTCGTAGATTGGTCCGATTTCCGTAATTTTTTTTTGTTAGATAGAGGAATATTTTTTACAGGGCGCATTGGACTTCGATTTTTGATTACGTCGCTAAAAACAAAAAATAATACAAAAACTAAAAAGTTGTAAAAATTGATTAAATTCAAACTTGTAACATAAGACTTAGAAAAATAATGTTGAAAATCCAAGTCCAATGCGCCCTGTAAGAAGTCTTCCTCTATCTAACAAAAAAAAATTACGGAAATTGGACCAATCTACGAGGCGTGAGAGTTTTTCCTGTAAGGCATGTTTTTGAGCAAAAAAACAGGTCGCGTGCAGGCCCCTTAATACGAAATCAATATGTTTTTTATTTATGTTTTAAACATAACAACTCTGGGTGAATCATAAATATAGGTAGAGGAAATTATTGTATTATTATTGCGGTTAACGAAGGGTTTATTGAAGTTTACATAATGTAAAATAAATAATAATATTTAATTATTTATCTAGATACTTACAACTGTTTGGGCAGTACTTTCTTGTGTGGCCAAAGGCCCGGCACTTGTGGCACATTATCGGTGGCCGCCCACGTGCCCGTCCTCAACCCCGAAAACCATTGTGAGCCCCATAATAATTTGGTTCAGGTTGTGGTGGTTGTGCATTCTGAGCCATTTGAACTAAATTTAAATAATTATAGAATATTAGAGACTATTTTTTAACTAATATTAATATTATATAAATTAATTATTTAAATATTTTATTATTGAAACTAACCGACTGACACAATCCCGGACACAATCGACCTAAAAGCCTCTGTGTAAATGGTCGTGGACGTTGTGGAAGTGTGTCCACCATGTTCACGGAGCTCACTGCCACGACCACGCATTAGCCCGCCACGACCATGGAGCTCACTGCCTCGACCACGAATTACCCTGCTACGACCACGTGCAAGCCCGACTTGGGCACGGCCAAGCGTATAGGAGATGGGCGATGGCCGGTGATGTGCCCTGCCTCTAGGCCATTTTCCTGCCGCAATAGTTGTCATTGACCTTCGACAGTTTATATAAATTAGTGAAAATGAATACCAAACAACATAATATAATATAATATCATTCGATTACAGATTTGGATCACAAATTATGATCTCGAGGTTTTGTGCATTGACAGCCAATTGTCTAACCAATGCACAAAACCCCGGATAATAATCCATTTCTGACTTTGGAAATACCCAAATCGACGAACGGAGCTCCAATGATAGTGTTTCGTCGATTTGGGTTTCCAAAGTACAGAAATAACGGTCGTCTTCGCCTTTCAACCAAATAATGAATTTTTTGCTAGCTGAAAAATTTGCCATGACTTGGCCCTTTTTCAACATGACCCAAACTCCGTTGGAAATTAATCTGTATTAATAAATTAAAACAATCATTTTAGTTACAAGTAGATCAGTATAGATGGAATTTAAAAATAACATCAACATATTTAAATTTAAATTACTTGTCCTTCAAGTTGAAATAAGATAAACATCTATCCAACGTTCCATTCATACTTGCACTGTCTAGGTCAACGGGTAGTATGAGTATTTCCCTTGGATCTGCATCATCGTTGCAGGTGGCGCAAAACACGCGGCTTTCCACCCGCAGAGGTACCAATCTGTGTTGTAGTATTTCGGGATGAATTTATTATTTATGAATAAATAGTGAATTAGTTTTCCAACAAATTATTTACGATGAATACAAAATAAAAAAAATAATAAAAAAATCTTACGTATTCGAGATCACACACTGTTATTGTTGTTTCAACATTGAATGTGGTTGAAAGCAGACCACGCACCTAATACCAATCCAGCCTATCTAAATTGCACCCAAGCTTTGGAATGATTAATCGATTAATCGATCCCGCAACTGGTTCAATGAATCGGCCAGAGATTGGAGAGTCGGTTTATAGTGAAATAGCACCTTTGTGACAAGATAAAAAACATAAATTTTACCTCCCTCGTCACTCGGTTGTAATTCCGCCACACCACCGAACCGGACCTTTTACCCGAGGGCCCTGTACTTCACCCTGCAATTTAAATATAATTAAATTAATACCCAAGATATTTGAACATTTCACAAAACGCATTTATTATACATCTATGCGAGTTTCGCAGTTTTTTTTTATTATTTTAAATATAATTACATATTATACAAATTATGCACAGTTTATTTCAGCACATCACAAAATGTTTAAAACATATCAGATAAATTTATTAATTAAAAACTATAATTGCTTGAGTATGTTCGTATTTTTGGAAAATATAGTTATGAATGATAAAAAATGAAGCTATAAATGTACTTACTTGAAGTTTACGGCAATTCCTCTTCCCATCTGGAAGTCCTCGGAGACGCAATGCGCCGTGGCCAACTTTTCGTCTACCTTCAGTGCCGCCGATGCCGCCTCAATTTCGGCAAACAACTCTCTTGCCGATAAATTAATAATAGCCATGCTGAAAAGTTAAGGTACATAATATTATCGTGTAATAATTCTTAAAATTTCACATAAGTTATGTAACTAATTAATCAAAACCTTAGTCAAAAAATAAAAATTTTTAAATGTTTTAATTTGAAATTTTAAATGTCTTATAAAATATTAGTAATGTAAAATTTCAAAATACTTACACGTATAATATTTTATTTTATACGTAGGTGCAGGTTAAAGAAAAGAAAATGTATTTACTAAATTTTACCAACTGTGTAAAAATCAAGTCTCTAAGGCTCGGGCCACACGATGCGGTATTGCCGCATGCGTCAAAATAAATAGCGGTGACGCCGCAATAACATATCGGACCACACGATGCGTTGCATTGCGTTGTGACCGGATGCGTTAGGTATATTTTTAAAATTTTAAAATATATTTAAGTCTAAACTTGGGAACTCAAAATTAATTTAGAATGAAAAATTAATTTAGTTTCAATCTAGACCTTGTACCGCAAGGTCGATAGTCGATACGATGTCCGATAAAACATTGTTAAAAGTGTTGTGTGCAGCAGAAGCTGCTGGAGAATTGGATGAACCTACTCCTTCGAAACGAAGATGTTGGGTTCATCCCTTAAATTCTGATAGAGAAAAAAATCAAAACTTTTCAGAATTATAAAATATACGTAAACACCCCGAAAAGTTTTTTGAGTATTATCGAATGTCGGTTAAATCATTCGATGAACTCATTCTATGAACTCTAAGCTTCGTCAACATTTAACTAAAGAAATTACCAATATGCGTAATCCTTTAAGTCCGGAGGTTAGACTGACAGTGACTATAAGGTAAGTCAAGAAAATATATTTTTTACCTTAAATTGTTTGGAATTATAAAAAGTTATAGTTATAGTATTATTAATATTAAAGTATCTCTAAAAAAAAGAACTTAAAATAAAAATATTTTATATATTTTTTTACGTAATTTTTTTACTAATTTCTAAGTACAAAAAAAATGTATCAACTGTTTAAAAAACAAAAAAACTATAAATTGTAAAATGTATATAAAATACAAATAATCGTACAAATATAGTGAATAACTAAAAAAAACTGTTTAACTTTTATAAACTTCTTAAAATAAATTAAAATAAAATGATTAACACCTTTTGAAAATACCTTTATAAACTATTTTAAATTTGTTGGTTACCATCATGAGCCTTATGTGGAGGAAATTGTTGTACATGCTTTGGTTGATGAGGTGGAATGTTTTCAGAATAAGGCAGTTGAGAATATTGATTTGCAGGAATTGGTTCAGAATATATGTTATGGTGTAGAGCAGGGTGGTCCAACCCGCGGCCCGCGAAGCTTTTTTTTGGCCCCTCCAACAATATTAAATCACAATAATATTATAAAAAAATCGCAATAATAAGGTATACAATTTATACGAATTTATACGAATTGTTATATGGCGGGAAATCCCGGGAGTCGGTCATATCGCGATAAAACGCGATGAACGACTTGAATACTATTCACAATCGCACAATTGCGAGCATTAAATATTTCTCTAAACAGTCTAAACTAAATCTAATCAGTAACCGTCTGTGTCGTGTGCTCGTGCGTAGTGTGATCGTGTGACAGTGCCCGTGTTATTACCGTACATACGTATTTTTACCATGTCTGAAAGAAAAAAACGTAAATTTGACGATGACCGCCACGGGGTTTTTCACCATGTTACTTATTTTTGCTATGAGATCTAATTAGAAATCTCAACAAATTACTAAAAGTTGGTATTGAGATCTTATATGAAATCTCACATATAGGAATTTACCGTCAATGATATCTCGTTCTAGGTCTCAATAATCAGTACTTTATCAACGGATTCTAAATCTACAGTGTTGCCACTTTCAGTTGGTGTTTGTAGCTCACCAATAGCATTTTTAGTTTTTTTTTATCAATATTTTAAAATCAGTGATAATGTCTTGTTTGATATTGTTCTAACTGATTATTCACCTTATGAAAAATAAATGTTTATACGCGTTTTTAACTTTAAGTTAACAGTTAACGATTATGTTATGTTTTTTGTAATTTTTTATTATACTGACATACTTATTACTCAATTATGAATTCTAAAAGTATAAGTGAGATGTTAGAATCGTCTTTTGATTATAGTTCTGTTGACGACTCCGATGATGATCCCAGTTGGGATAAAAATGTTGAAGTCATGTCTACAAGTAAGTTATTTTACCTACAATATAATGATTTTACGTTGATCAAAGTTACAAATTATAATTTTTAAATGTATTGAATTTAATAGGTACTACTTCTAGTATACAAAATAATGGCAGACATGTGAATATAGTGGCATCAGATGGTATTTTTATTTGTTTTTTTATAATATTTATTATTCAGTTATTCATACTAATTATTCATTTGTATTTTATAATTTTAAAAGTTGAATTATCCGGAGTCAGTGAAATTAACAGTGATGGAAATGATCCAGATTTTGGTAATGAATTATTAATATTTGTGTTATTGTAAAAAAAAAAAATTTAATTTAATTTGTTATTTAGACATGGTATCTCATATAAGTGCATCAACTGATGGTGATTTTGCACCAACTGCTCGTGGACAAGGATGCCCAAGTATTCATACTAATGATCGTCAGTGGAGAGATGATGATAATGTTGTTGATGATTTTATGTTCAACCCCGATATTACAAACTCTGGTATAAATCCTGACTTATTCGATGTACTAATGCACGGCTCACCGCTTGATTTTTATATGCTTATAGTAGATAGTAAAATTATAAATAATATAGTAATCGAAACAAATAAATTTGCTGCACAACAAAAAGAAGCTAAATTAACATCACCTTTTGCACGTTTAAATAAATGGTATGATACAAATGTAACAGAGATGAAACAATTGTTTGGAATTTTAATTTGGACTGGCTTAGTTGTATTACCATCATATGAACTTTATTGGAGTACTTCTGAAATATTTTCTACAAATTTTGGACTTATAATGAGCAGAAATCGGTTTGAAATCTTAATGGGAATGCTTCATTTCTCAGATAATACAACTGCTGATACAACAAATCGTTTGTATAAACTTGGCACAGTAATTGATGATATAATAATTAATTCTAACCACTGCATGCAACCGCTAAAAGATTTATGTATAGATGAATCACTTGTAAAATTTATGGGTAGGCTTGCATTTAAGCAATATATTAAAAACAAACGTGATAGATTTGGTGTAAAGGAGTTCAAGCTGTGTATTCCTCCATGCTACACAATTGCTTTAAAAATATATGCTGGTAAAGAGGCTAGCCCTGAAAGTAGTGTTGGGACAAAAATTGTGATGGAATTAGGAGAACCTTTTTTGGATTGTGGAAGGACATTATATGTAGATAACTGGTATTCTAGTGTTGAGTTAGCTGAACAATTAAAAACCAGAAAAACTCATCTTGTAGGAACTATTAGATCTAATAGAAAGTCAAATCCTAAAGATGTAGTCCAAAAAAAGTTAAAAAAAGGAGAAATAGTATCAAAGAGAAGTGATACAAATGTTTTGATTTTAAAATGGAAAGATAAAAGAGATTTATACATGATATCAACAAAACATACCAGTGAAGCTGTAGAAAATGTTGTAAGAGGTAAAATTGTAAAAAAACCTAAAGTAGTAATAGACTACAATACAGGAAAAACGGCCATTGATCTTTCAGACCAAATGAGTTCCTATTCGAACCCTCTTAGGCGTACCACAAAGTGGTATAGAAAGGTAGCTTTAGATGCGCTTTTAAACATAGCTGTTGTTAATTCTATGGTATTATTCAATACCATTACTTCATCAAAAATGTCAATCACCGATTTCCGTACTTCACTTGTCGAACAATTACTTAAAAAAGAAACTGTTGATGTTGACAGCTCTTTGCAAACAATAAATCACCAATTAGAAGTCGTTGGCAAAAGCAGGTGTTATGTGTGCTATTCAATTATGTCAAAGCGTAAAGGAAGAAATTATGCTCAATCACATAGCACTAAAGTACAAACTAAATGCTTAGTGTGTAACAAGTATTACTGTCTTAAATGTTTTTTCAAAAATCATAAAATCACAAAGTAATTGACAGAAAAACACAATACAAAAAGATTATCAATTTTTCTGTTATTTTGATCTAATTATTTTTTATTATGTCTTAAAATATTAAATACACTGTTATTGTTTGTTATTATCATTATTATTACTTAAGTTTTCTTAGTCTCCCGATTGTTTTTATATATAATGTTACTATTCATCATAAAAAGTTAAAAGTTTTGTTTTTCATATAATTATGTTTTTATCATATAAATGTTTTGTTATAATTATGCAATTTATAGGAATAAAGGCAACATAAATTGTATTCACATTGTTTTTGTATAATTCCTTTATAACTAAAATAATGTATTTGATTCAATAAATAAATACCTATTTGAGATTTTAAAAAAAAGTTTTCAAGTTAAGTTTTTTGTTTGTAATATCATTTTTATCATAAAAAAGTTACATATATGCTTTTTATTTTGAAATTTATAGGATAAAAGACTAAAAAACCAGAGATTGTTTTCATATTAATATATTGTTCCTTATTGTTCAAATAATGTATTATTTTATAAAATAAATAAATATTTATTTGAGATTTAATTTTAAGTCTCAATTAAAGTGCTTTTTCATAATGAGATTTAGTTTGAGATCTCAGGCTGATGGTCAAAACATTAATTTTTCAAATGGTGACATCCTACGGCCATGAGATCTAATTTGAGATCTCGGCTTATATTAAGTTATAACCTAAACAAATGTTTTAACAAAACAATTATGAATATAAGTACAAATTTTGAATAAAATCAGACAATGTTTTGTCCAAAAAAAAATTTGAGTAAACCTATGAAAAACCACGTGGCGGCGAGGACAAAGTTTAGTGAGATCTCGTAAGAGAACTCATGGCGGTCAACGTGTTAATTCAAAATGGGAACTTATGTATTTATGTATTGAAAATAACAATAAACCTATGTGCCTAATTTGTTTACAAGTTATTAGCGTTCTAAAAGAATATAATATAAGTAGACATTACACGAGCATGCACAAATCATATGATAAATATACTGGAGATTCTCGGCTTGCATTATTAAAAGACCTTTCTTCGAAATTAACAAAACAAAAAAATGTATTTTTAAAAAAACAAATTAACGATCGTGACAATTTAATAGCTTCTTATGAAGTGTGTTTAGAATTGGTCAAACAAAAAAAAGGGTTTAGAGACGGCGAATTAATTAAACGTTGTGCAATAAAAATGGCAAATGCTTTTGGAAACAAAGAAATGGCAACTAAATTTGAAACTGTATCACTTTCTCATCAAACTGTTAGTAGAAGAGTCAATGAAATGAGTGATCGTGTATCTGGAATGCTTCGTAATATAATACAGAATTGTAAGTACTATTCTTTAGCATTAGATGAAAGTAATGATATTTCCGATAACAGTCAATTAATCATATTTATTCGAACAATTGATAAAGATTTTAATATACATGAAGAACTACTTCAAATAAAACCATTAATTACTGGAACTAGGGGTGTAGATATATTTGAAGCACTGAAAAAAATTATTTCAGATTTTGGTTCATTTGACAATTGCACTGGTATAATCACTGATGGTGCTAAGCTATGGTTGGGATACATACTGGTTTAGTAGGAAATTTAAGGCAAATGGGGCTAAAATGTTTATTTATTCATTGTATTATTCACCAAGAAGCACTTTGTTGCAAGTTTGTTAAAATTAATGAAACTGAAAAAAGTGATAAGCATTGTTAATTTTATTCGTGGTGGTAACAAAGCTCAATGACACAGAGCATTTATTACATTTTTAGAAGAAATGGAGAATGAGTATGGTGATATCCGGTTACACTGTGATGTAAGATGGCTGAGTGCAGGGAATTGTTTGAAATCTTTTTTTCGCATTGAGAAGTGAAGTTTTTGAATTTCTTAAATCTAAAAATATTGGACAACAGTTTTACGAAGAGTTACAAAGTATTTCATTCATGAAGTCTCTTGCTTTTCTTACTGATTTGACATCTCATTTAAATATTTAAAATTTAAAAATGCAAGGTAGAGGACAAAATATATGTCAGTTTTTTAGTAATATTGAAGGTTTTCGGAAAAAATTATAAGTATTTAAAAACGCATTAGAAAACATCGATACTACATATTTTCCATCATGTCAAGAAATTAAAAAAATTGAAAATCAATCGGTATGTTTTTTGAATTTAAAAATATAATTACAGAACACTAATAACAGAATTTAATTCACGATTTAAAGATTTTTATATATTGAAACCTAAATTTGAATTATTTAACAAGCCAATGACAGTTGATATCTCAGTACAACCTCCCGATTTTCAAATGGAGTTATGTGATTTACAATCAGACTGTTTTTTTCAATCAAAAGTAAATCTGCCTCCTCAAGAGTTTTGGAAACTGTGTTCACAAGAAAAATTCCCAATATTACGGAATATGTCTCTTGAAATTTTGTCATTATTTGGCAGTACGTATATTTGTGAATCGGCATTTTCTACAATGAAATTAATTAAATCAAAGTCAAGAAACCGTATTAACAATGCGTCTTTAGTGCATCAGATTAGCCACCACAGGGTGTTCAATTGAAATTGATAAATTGGCTACTGAAAAACAATGCCAATCATCACATTAATAGTTTATTTTTTATTTTTTTTATTGTAATAAGACATTCCTAGCCTCATTAATTTTTTTAGTATTTTTTTGTTTAATTTAATTGTAATTTTGTAATGTATTATTGTAATTTTTTAATAATAATTAATAATTTGTGTATTATATAAAATAAAAATATAAATAGGTAATAATATAATTTTTTTCTTCTGGCGGCCCCCGGCGTTTCTATGAAAGTGTAAATTGGCCCACCAACTACAAAATGTTGGACCACACTAGTGTAGAGTATCTATTGAACTTAGTGAGGGAGATACTTGTTGATGTTGGTATGAGATTGGAGAAGAATTGAACGAATTTAAATAGCCGGGATGAAAATATGGAGCATTATTCTGTTGATGAATTACTGAAGTTGGATAAGAATAGTTATTATTTTGTGGACGAGATTCATCCTGAAAAAATTTTAGCACGTACATTTTGAATTCCAATTTTTTGCCATCACTCAATTTCTTTACTTCTGGAAGTAAAGATTTAAAAAAAAATGTTCATCTGCGTCAGTGGTTTCTATTTTTTCCAAGTGGTTTAATAATTTGCTTTGGAAAATAGTCATTTTTGGATTTTTTTTATTTATTTTCGAAGTACTTGGTGGAGTGTCCTGTGCGCTTATGATGGACGTATCTAGTTGCTGTGATGGGTCCAATAATGTTTTATTATGATCTTTAACTGGATCATCCGTATCCGAAACTTGTTGATCAGCTTGTGTGTCATTAATAAAATTTCCCGATGTACTATTCAAATAAATAAAAATTGTAAATATTTATACTCCGGCCGGAATAAGAACGTACCTGGGCGGCGGACCAAAACAAGTTTGCTGCCCGCAGATCATAGTTATGACTATAACTATATGTTTATAACTATGACAAGGTTGCGGACGGGAAACCGGTCGCCGCATGCGTGACGAGGTACGTTCTTATTCCGTCCGGAGTATAGTTAGGCAATTATAAAAATAAAATAGTACAGTAAAAAATAAAATTAATATTTTAATATTTCAAACCAAAACAATGTTCAGATACAATGTTACATATATTTTCACACATAAAGTACATAATATTATACCTACCTAAATAAATATATAAATTACATTTTTATACAGTTTAACAGAAAGACCTAACAATATCCTCTAGGTGATAGTATTCCAGCACAAATACCTAAAATAGGAGCATTACGTGTTGCCAAGTATAGAGCAATTTCATCTACACAATATAATTCCTGTCCTTTAATTTCACTAAACCTAATGAAGTTAAGTGAAGAATTTAACAATACAATTCACGATATTGGTTTCAACAAATTGTTCGTACATTTTTGGAGTCATCTACAATTGCAAATATATAGGGATTAATTACAAAAAAATACAGGTACCCACTATATCATTTGATGCTACTGGTGGATGTTGTCAAAAACTTAAATGGAATGATATAAAAAAGAGTGGTTCAATATTGTATGAAGGTGTGACAAATATAGATAACCAAAGTTTTACTGTGTTGTCAAAGCTTTCGGAACAACATGAGAACATTTTAATAGCAAACTGGCTAAAAAGATGGTTGAAATGTGATGTAAAAGCACCAAAAGTTGTTATTTCCGATCAATCCTTAGCGATGATGTCTGCTTTAGTACAAGGATTTACTCAATATGAATCTCTGGAAAAATACCTAAATACATGTTACTCTTTGATCGTATTAAAACAAAAAAAAAGAAATCCCTAATTGTTTTATTAGAAATGATGTAAATCATTTTATTCATTTGATATCTCAATGGAGCGCTGTAAAGAATTCTCGGTACCCTAATACTAAACAACTCATTATTAGAGGAATGGGCCTTCTTGTATTGTGTACCTCAATTGTCGAAGCAGAAAAAATCTTAAGTGCCATTTTTACAATTATTCTAAGTAAATCTGATGAAGAGTTATTACAAATCAACCAAAATAATAATTTTTCTGAAGAATTGTTGACGCCTTGTGCCAAAAGCAAAAAATATTTAAAAGATTTGATAAATTGTTCAGATGAAATTGATTATTCACAATTCGAATATGATGATGACTCTAACTTGAGGTTTCTTCAAGAAAACAATGCTAATGATGATGAAGATCTTCATAATGAAAATTGCCTTGGTGGTTTTAAAGGATGGGCCCAAAGTATTAGCAATAAAGTAAAAGAAGAAATAGAAGGTATTGAAGGATCCACAGACAATGCATAATTTTTACCTGAACTTGAGTCAACTATAATAAAAACAATGAAATATTTTCCACGCTGGTCTTCTATCACGATTAACATTTTTCGATATGGGACATCCACTGCTTCCTCAAGTAGAATAGAAATCAATTTTAATCATATTAAGAACCGTGTGTTAAAGAATGAACATTTACCTTTAAGGGTGGATAAGTTCGTAGAAATTTTATTGAATCATTATAGAGGTGATCATATTTTATTGAAAGCTCAAAATAAAGATAACGATAATCTTGAGTTCAATGATGAAGATCAATGTAATATAAGTGAGGTAACAAATCAGTTTTTTATCGATGAAAGTAATATTAGAAAATACAACATTCATAATATAACTGAAAATGAGGAGGTGAATATAGATATCAAATCAAAAAAGTAGAGTAGAAAAGACAGTTCTGGAACCTCAACCTGCTGGCTCATCCCTATACCCGTCTGCTCAACCCATGGTTGCTCTCTATCACGCACGTATACGATATGCCCCCGCCACCCCGCTCTTCCCTATACCCCCTGCACATCCCTATACATTGACGGCTGCTGAACCCACCATATATCACACACGTTAACGATGTACCCCGCCACGCCGCCACCTATGACCACCGCTCGACATTGCCGCCGCTCGTGGAAAATAATTTAAAAATGTATCCGTCAGACCGGGATTCGAACCAGGTTCCCTTGCATGATAAGCGACCACCGTACCACTGGGCCGCCTACTCGCATATGTTTGAGAAGGTATATTCTATCTCATTTAACTGGCGTTTACGACGTCCGCTTACGTACGCGAGGTATAATTTCCCCCGCCACTATACCATACCAAGAGCCGCCGCGAACGCGCGCGCGAGCCCTCCGGTGCGTTATCAGTTATCACAGTGACTTTAACACAAAATAATCTACTGGTATATTTTTAACAATAAACGTTCATCACATTCCTTTGCAAGCGTTAGCAGTCTTAACAAACATGTAGCTACTCGCATAACATTTATAAATATATATTTATATACATTCACATTCCTTTTTAAGCGTCATCAGCGTCAACAGACCTGCAGCTGCATGCATTACCCCCTCCCGATTAACCTGTAGGGACTTTTCGATGTCTCCCCCACCAATTAATATTTAATTTGCTCGTTTATGAACACAACTACACAACATAAATTCAGTCACTCTATATAATCGTTCCAAGTTATTCGCGTGTGCTTGTCTCATATTCAGTGTTAAAATCATAATTATTTCTCAGTGCGTAAAATAAATATGGCTGGTCCAATTGAAAATATGGAAAATATATACAAGAAAACTTACAAATATACACCACCATCGCCGCCAGCTAATCTGATCGACTGCAGTAACTTGACTATTGATTTCACGGCTCGGAAGTTTTTAAACATTGGACTAGACCCTACCGATGAATTCAAAGCAGCGGTTCATATTATAACAGCTTCGCGGCATGTAAATATTCCCATCGATTTTCTGGAACGCATATTCAGACTTATGGGAAACATTCTATCGTTCGTACTTGACCGTCCACACGAACACAAACGAATTTTATTTTTGGAGACAGAGTCAATTACAATGTCTAGTATGATATATAAATCGGAGAACACACTTGTTTTAGAATCGAAAACTCAAGACGGATGTCGCGTTTTGTTAAATCGTACAGATCTACTGGTCTTACAAGATTTAAAATGTGCTATTTTTGAAATTATTAAAAGAAAATCTGAAATAGTTAAACCAATTATACTTCATCATATTGAGTTAATCGCTACATTCTTACAATTAAACGTACCGCTACAAAACTCTACACTCGAAATAATGAGAAACCGTGTGAGAAAAATTGATAATAGTTATATCCAAAGACATGTTATTGACGAGGCAATACAATATGGTATTAGTCAGGGCGATTACATTTACACAAATCAAGTAAAATTATACGCAACTGATTCTATCGTACAAAAATGGATGAACAAAGTGAAAGAGGTATGAATATTTTTTCTTAACTTATTTTATTTTTATGTTAACAAACTAAATTTTTACAGGGAAACAATAGAGGGCGTTCTATGACTTTTTCTCCACCACCATCGTTCAGCAGTTTATATGAACAGGTAATAAACAGTTTTAAATTATATTCACAAAACATATTTAAATTTCAAATATTTTCAGGAAAATCTATCATTAGTCTCGCCCTTGTCCCCGTCAGCACAAGAGAGCTACCTCGAGAACAACCAGGAAGGCTTTTCGGAAAACGATGGACCATTTGGACCACAATATAATTAATTATTTTTATACTAATTAAATTGTTTTTTGTCTAAAATAAAAACAAGCGTGATATTTAAAAACAAGTTTTTTTTATTTAATAATAAGGTTATAATATATATATAGCATAAGGTCACAATATTTTACAAAAAAAAAAAAAAATATATAAACATTTTTACAATTTTCTAACTTCTCCACTAAACGGGCTATAAGTTATAATCTGGTCATGTAATATTAAGCAGTACGCTGTAGTTTTTGCTGGAATAATTGTATCCGTCTCAAATTCAATACGCAGGTCTACGGTTGACGACTTCACATTGTCGTTTTGACACGATAAATCGACGACGATGATTGGTGAATAGTTTTGAAAAATATGTTTTGATAATAATGGTTCGCTGTACTCTTTCTCATAATACGATTTTTGAAAGTCTGTATAGGCCTTATACAGTATACTAGTTGTATTATTTTTAAAATCAGCACGAAAGTCTTCATATGGATACACTTCAGAATTTAAGTGAACTTTAAGATTTTTTAACTGACAGTGATCAAAGCGCCCGGCGTCTGTCTCAATATTTCTTTTACGATCTGTTTGTAATCCAAACAACACAAACCTAGGTTTTTCTAACAAGTTGCTGGACTTTACCGTCCACGAATGTGAAGTATTCCTAGGAAGAATGGGATACTCGTTAAGATCCCACGTGCGGAATGCACACGATAGTGTTTTACAAGAATCTATCACTTTTATCAACTTTAATTTTTCTTTATCACTAACTTTGATAATAGGCATTTTCCATGCTACCTTAGTAAGCTCAATTGTAATTTTTTTATTGTTTTCAACGGCTCCGCTTGCACCCTCGCCAACAACGTGTATCGCGTCCAGATCGGTAGACGCCCGATTTAAAATCAATTGTTGATTACAATTAAGTAATATTTTTTTATAGTCTTCACAAAATCCGAATAAATGTTTTAGAGGGATACACCCGGTAAATACATTACTGCTCATAAAGTTTTTATTATCTTCGCCATCCATAGCCGAGTCCCAAGCAGCGCTCTCTAACGTATTCAAATCGTTTGGAGTATACGAACAGTATGCTTTTAAGCAAGATGAAACTCCAGGTGTTTTTAATTTCTGTATTACTACTCCATTTATTTCATATCGCATTTCGGAAAATAAAAACGCCAATCCATTATTTGAAAAACGTACTTCTCCAACAGCATCGACAGGTTTATTTACTCTCCCCTCTATGTAAATATAGCTTTCACACGGTAAAGTGTACGCATCCATATTTAAAACACTTATCTTAATTTCATCGTTATTCGATAAAGACAGGTTCGAGTACGGAGTGAACGAATGATAATGCTTTTGTGTTATTTTACACTCGTCGACATAATCGACCCCAACGTCTAAATACGAGTCGTCCATAATTATTTTTTTTATACTTGCAACGAACGTAGAAAATTTAAATTATTTTTCGTGAGCTTGATTTCGCCTTTTTCCGGTTTAGATGTTGACTTCTTAACAGCAGTCGGTAAACTGACTGGTTTTTTGATTGTAGATCTTTTTATATTAAACTTTAGTGCCATTTCCACACGTTATTTGTAATCGAATCGTAATTGGTTCACCGCGCAGATTTATTAGACAATCGTTCTGATCTTTTAGCGCGATATACACTCTAGATATCAAAGTCGTGTTGAGAGCATAAAAAACAGGATGTCTAGGTACCTCGACGATTTTATAGCCTGGCGGAACAGTTGGATAGAGCTCGTGTATGATCTGACTCGGTGCTCCGTCGCAAAATGAGCCAGTAATCAAGTTACACATGACTTTTATACTATTGATTTTCATTATCTTGACTGTACTTTCAGATTCGTAATTATTACCAGTAGTGTATAATTCATTTCTAAAACCCAATAATTTCGCTATACTATGTTCAACTGATAAGTCAACGTCATGACTACACGAGAGTATACACTTTAATGTGGTATTGTTTGCTTTTAATTCAAACCACTCGATATATTCGGGCATATTTTTCTGTATAACACTCTCTAAATTATCAAACTCATACGATCCCGTAGGTATGATAACGTCCTCTCTTTGTCCGATCATATTACGAAAACCGATAGTATTACAGCCGGGTTCAATGTTTGGTATTGAATTATTAGTCTGTAGGCTCAAAAGGCATATTTGTGATGTGCTTTCTACTTCTAGCGGTGGAAAAATGTCGCATGACAATTCACTTGAGGTACCGTTTAATGTTAACGTGTACATGATAAAAATTTTAAACACAAGTGCCCGCAGTTGGTAGTATTATATTTCTGCTCTCTGCTGTAATTGAAATTGATGTCGCATCCGTGAAAATATTTTTGTACTTCTAATGGAGGTGGCAAATTTCCGAAACTGTCATAATATTCAATTTTATTCCCGATTTTTTTATACGCTACCCAGTGAGTACCTATACCGTTTTCTGTATCCAAGTTAACAATCGCTGATTCTATTCGTTTACAACGTACAGGCAACCTATCTCGGGTAAACACACCGACGAAGTGAGGTATTTTAATCAAACGAGCCATTTTTATAAGCTCGTAATCGTACAGGGCTCGACGGGGTAACGTAGCTATTAGTTTTTTTTATTTTTTATAGTTTTTATAGTCTTCTTCGTTTTTACACTCCCTCCACTTTTATATGGTGCGAGATTTAAACCTGATCCGATTTTATACGAGTTGCCCTTA